TGAAAAGAAAATTTATCGAAAATTTTCTATGAAAAGAAAATTTATCGAAAATTTTCTATGAAAAGAAAATTTATCGAAAATTTTCTATGAAAAGAACATTTATCGAAAATTTTCTATGAAAAGAAAATTTATCGAAAATTTTCTATGAAAAGAAAATTTATCGAAAATTTTCTATGAAAAGAAAATTTATCGAAAATTTTCTATGAAAAGAAAATTTATCGAAAATTTTCTATGAAAAGAAAATTTATCGAAAATTTTCTATGAAAAGAAAATTTATCGAAAATTTTCTATTAAAAGAAAATTTATCGAAAATTTTCTTTAAAAAGAAAATTTATGGAAAATTTTCTATGAAAAGAAAACTTATCGAAAATTTTCTATACAAAGACAATTTATCGAAAATTTTCTATAAAAAGAAAATTTATCGAAAATTTTCTATGAAATGAAAATTTATCGAAAATTTTCAAGAAAATTTATGGAAAATTTTCTATGAAAAGAAAACTTATCGAAAATTTTCTATACAAAGACAATTTATCGAAAATTTTCTATAAATACAAAATTTATCGAAAATTTTCTATGAAATGAAAATTTATCGAAAATTTTCAATAAAAATAGAATTTATCGAAAATTTTCAATAAAAATAGAATTTATCGAAAATTTTCAATAAAAATAGAATTTATCGAAAATTTTCAACAAAAAGAGGATTTATCGAAAATTTTCAATAAAAAGAGAATTTATCGAAAATTTTCAATAAAAAGAAAATTCATTGAAATTTATCAAACATTTTGAATAAAAAGAAAATTTATCGAAAATTTCTATTAAAAAGAAAATTCATTGAAAATTTCCTGTAAAAAGAAAATTCATCGAAAATTTCCTATAAAAAGAAAATTTATCGAAAATTTCTTATAAAAAGAAAATTTATCGAAAATTTCTTATAAAAAGGAAATTTATCGAAAATTTTCTATAAAAAGAAAATTCATCGAAAATTTTCTATAAAAAGAAAATTCATCGAAAATTTTCTATAAAAAGAAAATTCATCGAAAATTTTCTATAAAAAGAAAATTCATCGAAAATTTTCTATAAAAAGAAAATTCATCGAAAATTTTCTATAAAAAGAAAATTCATCGAAAATTTTCTATAAAAAGAAAATTCATCGAAAATTTTCTATAAAAAGAAAATTCATTGAAAATTTTTTATAAAAAGAAAATTTATCGAAATTTTTTTATTACAAAGAAAATTCATCGAAAATTTTCTATAAAAAGAAAATTTATTAGAATCGGTAATTCTATATAGAAAGACATTTTTTGGGACGCAGAACTATCCACGAAATATCGCTTTTCTATAGTTTTGTGATAGAATCTAATATATTGGGTCTATTATCATTATTATTTCTTAATTAGAACTAATCAGTTTCATTACATTTTCTATTTAATTGGTTCCTTGAGATCACATTTCTCTGGCAATTAGGACTATTCGGAAGGTCCCATTGTGCAGTTAATTTGAAAACACAAATTATTTGTTAACTTAATTACAAAAGATTTTGTTGCTGTTGTCAACATTTTCCTCTTACTCAAATTGAGAATATGACTAGGTTCATTTATTAATCTACTTCTTTGTTATTTTCCCTTTCCAAGTAAAACTATGTTTATGACATTAAAGTAAAATGACTTTTAATATTTAGTTGCAGTTGGATATTTTTGTTTTATTTGTAGCTTGTTTTGTGCCTTCTTCGTTATAAAATTGTAATGTAATCACGTTTAAGTAAACTGAGATAGAGAAAAATATGACATGTCATGTACGTAAGAGCAACTGAGTAGGTACTCATGTGAGTTTTGTGTAAAACATGTATTTTATAAATGTTAAGCCTCTTTGGTGTTCTTGTTTTGCCTCTTCCTTAACCGTTGCCCTCCAGATTCCTTATAACGAGAGAAATGTTAGATGGAGAATGTGGTACGGTAGACATAAAAATGTCAAATGTACATACAAAGTAATGTAATTTATGTATATATTATATACACTTACATATGTACATATACATATACAAGTATGTTATATGCTTAGTTTTTATTCTATTTCTTTCCCGCTGTTTGAATATCAAATTATTAGACAAATAGTATGTTTTTCTCTGCCTCATCTTGCTAACAAATATAAGAGGCTTTCCTTTGACGAACGAGATTTTGAGGAAAAAATATGATTTATACTCTGTTTTGGCTGCCTGAGAAAAAAATCTTAAAAATATGAATTTGTAAAAATGAAATTTATTAAGTGCATAAATTTATTATTAATTCTTGAGTGGAGTGAAAAATAAAGACAAACACAAGGTTTTTAATAAAAAACGCATTTGAAATTTAAGTTAATTATTTTAGAACTTTAATATTTAATAACTATTTGATTGTTTAAATTTTATTTGTAAAGAAAATTTTTAAATTCGTTTTAAAATACTAAACTAGAAATTTCGTAGGTTTCCTTATTTTTGTTTAAATTAATATTGTCTATACTCTCTAGTCACTGATATGAAATTTATTACACTTTGTTATAACTGACAAGTTAATTTAAGTTTTTGAAAAATACTTACAATATGAATGGGTTTAACATATGAAATAGAAATGGTATTAGACACACATGATACTTAAATATAGATGTAATAAATGTTCACATATCTGCATGTAAATATAATATATTTATTACTTGTATACGATATCATTAGGTGGGTACCACTTCTAAGAAAACAAGGCTGGCTTCAAAAAAACAAGGAATATTTAAATATATTTAGACCTTAAAACGAGTTTAAGTCTTGAACTCACCAATTCTTAAATGAATATTAAAAAAACGAGAATGTATAAATAATTTTCTATAAAAAGAATTTATCAAAAATTTTCAAAAAAAAAAAAGAGAATTTATCGAACACTTTCTATAAAAAGAAAATTTATTGAAAATTTTCTATAAAAAGAGAATTTATCGAAAAAATTCTATAAAAAGAGAATTTATCGAAAATTTTCTATTAAAAGAGAATTTGTCGAAAATTTTCTGTAAAAAGAGAATTTATCGAAAATTTTCTATATAAAGAGAATTTATCGGAAATTTTCTATAAAAAAGAGAATTTATCGGAAATTTTCTATAAAATGAGAATTTATCGGAAATTTTCTATAAAAAAGAGAATTTATCGAATATTTTCTATAAAGAGAGAATTTATCAAAAATTTGTTATAAAAGAGAATTCATCGAAAATTTCCAATACATACAAAGAGAATTAATCGAAAATTTTCTACAAAAAGATTATCTATCGAATTCTTCGACAATTTCCTATAAAAGGAGAAATTTCCTACACAAAGAGATTTTATCGAAAATTTTCTATAAAAAGAAAATTGCCTATAAAAAGAGATTTTATCGAAAATTTACTATAAAAAAGAGAATTTATCGAAAATTTTCTATAAAAAGAAAATTTATTGAAAATTTTCTATAAAAAGAGAATTTGTCGAAAATTATCTATAAAAAAAGGAGCATTCATCGAAAATTTTTTATAAAAAGAGAATTTATCGAAAATTTTCTATAAAAAGAGAATTTATCGAAAATTTTCTATAAAAAAAGAGAATTTATCGAAAATTTTCTATAAAAAGAGAATTTATCGAAAATTCTCTATAAAAAGAGAATGTATCGAAAATTCTCTATAAAAAGAGAATTTATCGAAAATTTTCTATAAAAAGAGAATATATCGAAAATTTTCTATAAAAAGAGAATTTATCGAAAATTTTCTATAAAAAGAGAATTTATCGAAAATTTTCTATAAAAAGAGAATTTATCGAAAATTTTCTATCAAAAGAAAATTAATCGAAAAATTTCTATAAAAAGAGAATTTATTGAAAATTTTCTATTAAAGAGAATTTATCGAAAATTTTCTATAAAAAGAGAAATAATCGAAAGTTTTCTATAAAGAGACAATTTATCAAAAGTTGTCTAGAAAAAGAATGTTTATCGAAAATTTTCTATAAAACCAATTTCGAAATAAAAATATATCAAAAATATTTACGATCTTAAGTATGAATCATTAAAGAACTATTCCTATTGTATATTTACCGAATACTTATGTACATACATTAGGGTGTTTCCTCTTGAAAAACTTGATATCAGTAGCATATAACGGAAAAATATATCTAAAATCTTTTCAAAATTGTTCGTGGTCAGTATATAAATACGCCTCGTTTGAGAGTTATTCCTTTATGAGATTCTTAAAAAGTCCTTTCCTTGAGACACTCTAATGTACAAATATATGTACCATTTATTTATCAAAAACATACAAATAAAATGTTTATTTATTATATAAGTATTAATGGTATTTACCTTGGTATTTATCTGCCATAGTAAAATGCTTATTTTAATTTGATTAAAATTACATTTATATTACCTGCAAAAAGAAAATATTTATGTAATAAGTAAGTAAATATAAAAGTAATTTAATTTAATTAAAAGTTAAAACTAAGTTTAACTTAAAGTCAGCCCAACTTACTTGTAAGAATGTTAATTTAATTTTAAAAATGTTTTACTTACATAAGATACATTTAAGTTACATATTTGTTCAAAACTATTTATACAATGATATTTTCATTTACAGACATTTTAAGTTTTAACTGGTATTTGTGATTTATAACTTTACTAGTATAAAATTCTTTTAGCTCTTAAACTATTTAATTTTACTTAAATACCAATGTATAAAAACTTTTCTCATATTAGCTTGTTATACATATTAGTAATTTATTAACTATCTATCTAGCTTATAAGACAGCAACTTTAAAAAATTGTGTACAAAATTGTAGCCGCTTCTTTTAAACCAGTTATTAGTAATTATGTTGATGTTAATGTTTCTATAAAATATCTAAAAGCCATTATGTTTTAAGTGTGTAATTAGATTTAATTGTGTGTAATAACAAACTAAATGTCTAATAATTTAATACAAATTTAGCTGAAATTGTTAAATTAAATATTAATTAAATCTTTTCTGCCATTTAGCTAATCCAACATTATATGCCCACTATGTATTCAATACACTAGACCAGGATCACACGGGTATCGTAAGTTTTGAGGTAAGTTTTATCAAATCGTTTTCTTCTAAATATGTCCAAAGACAATAATTCTCGAAAAATGCGTTACAAAATAAGAAATCTTATAGAGTAGCAGTTCCTTCTTACTAGGATATATTCGTAGTTATATAACTTCCTATTTTTTTCCCAAAGATCTAAATTTTTCCCAACATTAAACTTTTGAAAACAAATTACTTGACAAAGAGTTTTATTTCCTTTCGCTCATTTATTTCCTTCCTTTTTTTCTATTAGTCTGTAAAAAAAAAAAAACTTTGTATAAAATTGCAGCACGAAAAACACCTAAAAACATTTTTGAATGCCACTTAAAAACAGAAGTTTTCATTAGAACCATATAAATTTTTTTTTGTTGGTTTTCAGAATTATTTTTTTGCAAATTTTTTCATTGAAGTAAATGTAGTGAATTTTTCTTTTTGCACTATAAAACTGTTTTTGACAACTACAGTTCAGGCCAGACAACGTGCTTTTTACAAGGCAAAAAAGTAAATGTCTACAAAAAGTGAATTTCACTCACTTTCTACTAAAAACATTCATATGAAAAGGTTTTTTAGTTTTTTTTTTAAGCTCAATTACTTTGTCATTACACAGCAACTAAGCCGCTGGTATTTTTACGTGGTATGTGACAGGTTTTGGTTTTGTAATGCCGGTGTGTTTGTTTTAAGACAACAGACCTCATCAAATGTCAGTGTCAGTTGACCTGAGTGAAATTAATTTTTTCAGTATGACAGTTTTCTTTTTCAAGTTTTAATTCTTTTATTTGCAACAAAAATGTGAAATTGAAAGCGCAGTACTTGTGCAGGTAAAAGGGTGCTTAATTGTAAGACAAAACTTACAAAATTACATTAACTTAAGTGAAATAAAAACAGTACGTGTTTTGAACATTTTATGTTTTGGTTCAGTTCTAGTTCAGTTCTATTTCAGTTCTAGTTCAGTTTAGTTCAGTTCTAGTTCAGTTCTAGTTCAGTTCTTGTTCAGTTCTAGTTCAGTTCTAGTTCAGTTCTAGTTTAGTTCAGTTCTAGTTCAGTTCTAGTTCAGTTCTAGTTCAGTTCTAGTTCAGTTCTAGTTCAGTTCTAGTTCAGTTCTAGTTCAGTTCTAGTTCAGTTCTAGTTCAGTTCTAGTTCAGTTCTAGTTCAGTTCTAGTTCAGTTCTAGTTCAGTTCTAGTTCAGTTCTAGTTCAGTTCTAGTTCAGTTCTAGTTCAGTTCTAGTTCAGTTCTAGTTCAGTTCTAGTTCAGTTCTAGTTCAGTTCTAGTTCAGTTCTAGTTCAGTTCTAGTTCAGTTCTAGTTCAGTTCTAGTTCAGTTCTAGTTCAGTTCTAGTTCAGTTCTAGTTCAGTTCTAGTCAGTTCTATTTCAGTTCTAGTTCAGTTCTAGTTCAGTTCGTTCAGTTCTAGTTCAGCTCTAGTTCAGTTCTAGTTCAGTTCTAGTTCAGTTCTAGTTCAGTTCTAGTTCAGTTCTAGTTCAGTTCTAGTTCAGTTCTAGTTCAGTTCTAGTTCAGTTCTAGTTCAGTTCTAGTTCAGTTCTAGTTCAGTTCTAGTTCAGTTCTAGTTCAGTTCTAGTTCAGTTCTAGGTCGTTCTAGTTCAGTCTAGTTCAGTTCTAGTTCAGTTCTAGTTCAGTTCTAGTTCAGTTCTAGTTCAGTTCTAGTTCAGTTCTAGTTCAGTTCTAGTTCAGTTCTAGTCAGTTTCTAGTTCAGTTCTAGTTCATTCTAGTTCAGTTCTAGTTCAGTTCTAGTTCCGTTCTAGTTCAGTTCTAGTTTCAGTTCTAGTTCAGTTCTAGTTCAGTTCTAGTTCATTTCTATTCATTTCTAGTTCAGTTCTAGTTCAGTTCTAGTTCAGTTCTAGTTTCAGTTTCTAGTTCAGTTCTCTAGTTCGTTCTAGTTCAGTTCTAAGTTCAGTTCTAGTTTCATTCTAGTTCAGTCTAGTTCAGTTCTAGTTCAGTTCTAGTTCAGTTCTAGTTCAGTTGCTAGTCAGTTCTAGTTCAGTTCTAGTTTCAGTGTTCTAGTTCAGTTCTGGTCAGTCTACTAGTTCAGTTCTAGTTCAGTCTAGTTCAGTTCTAGGTCAGTTCTAGTTCAGTTCTAGTTCATTCTAGTTCAGTTCTGTTCAGTTCTATGTTCAGTTCTAGTTCAGTTCTAGTTCAGTTCTAGTTCAGTTCTAGTTAAGTTCTAGTTCAGTTCTAGTTCAGTTCTAGTTCAGTTCTAGTTCAGTTCTAGTTCAGTTCTAGTTCAGTTCTAGTTCAGTTCTAGTTCAGTTCTAGTTCAGTTCTAGTTCAGTTCTAGTTCAGTTCTAGTTCAGTTCTAGTTCAGTTCTAGTTCAGTTCTAGTTCAGTTCTAGTTCAGTTCTAGTTCAGTTCTAGTTCAGTTCTAGTTCAGTTCTAGTTCAGTTCTAGTTCAGTTCTAGTTCAGTTCTAGTTCAGTTCTAGTTCAGTTCTAGTTCAGTTCTAGTTCAGTTCTAGTTCAGTTCTAGTTCAGTTCTAGTTCAGTTCTAGTTCAGTTCTAGTTCAGTTCTAGTTCAGTTCTAGTTCAGTTCTAGTTCAGTTCTAGTTCAGTTCTAGTTCAGTTCTAGTTCAGTTCTAGTTCAGTTCTAGTTCAGTTCTAGTTCAGTTCTAGTTCAGTTCTAGTTCAGTTCTAGTTCAGTTCTAGTTCAGTTCTAGTTCAGTTCTAGTTCAGTTCTAGTTCAGTTCTAGTTCAGTTCTAGTTCAGTTCTAGTTCAGTTCTAGTTCAGTTCTAGTTCTAGTTCTAGTTCAGTTTCTAGTTCTAGTTCAGTTCTAGTTCTAGTTCAGTTCTAGTTCAGTTCTAGTTCAGTTCTAGTTCAGTTCTAGTTCAGTTCTAGTTCAGTTCTAGTTCAGTTCTAGTTCAGTTCTAGTTCAGTTCTAGTTCAGTTCTAGTTCAGTTCTAGTTCAGTTCTAGTTCAGTTCTAGTTCAGTTCTAGTTCAGTTCTAGTTCAGTTCTAGTTCAGTTCTAGTTCAGTTCTAGTTCAGTTCTAGTTCAGTTCTAGTTCAGTTCTAGTTCAGTTCTAGTTCAGTTCTAGTTCAGTTTCTAGTTCAGTTCTAGTTCAGTTCTAGTTCAGTTCTAGTTCAGTTCTAGTTCAGTTCTAGTTCAGTTCTAGTTCAGTTCTAGTTCAGTTCTAGTTCAGTTCTAGTTCAGTTCTAGTTCAGTTCTAGTTCAGTTCTAGTTCAGTTCTAGTTCAGTTCTAGTTCAGTTCTAGTTCAGTTCTAGTTCAGTTCTAGTTCAGTTCTAGTTCAGTTCTAGTTCAGTTCTAGTTCAGTTCTAGTTCAGTTCTAGTTCAGTTCTAGTTCAGTTCTAGTTCAGTTCTAGTTCAGTTCTAGTTCAGTTCTAGTTTCAGTTCTAGTTCAGTTCTAGTATTCTAGTTCAGTTCTAGTTCAGTTCTAGTTCAGTTCTAGTTCAGTTCAGTTCAGTTCTAGTTCAGTTCTAGTTCAGTTCTAGTTCAGTTCTAGTTCAGTTCTAGTTCAGTTCTAGTTCAGTTCTAGTTCAGTTCTAGTTCAGTTCTAGTTCAGTTCTAGTTCAGTTCTAGTTCAGTTCTAGTTCAGTTCTAGTTCAGTTCTAGTTCAGTTCTAGTTCAGTTCTAGTTCAGTTCTAGTTCAGTTCTAGTTCAGTTCTAGTTCAGTTCTAGTTCAGTTCTAGTTCGTTCTAGTTCAGTTCTAGTTCAGTTCTAGTTCAGTAGTCAGTTCTAGTTCAGTTCTAGTTCAGTTCTAGTTCAGTTCTAGTTCAGTTCTAGTTCAGTTCTAGTTCAGTTCTAGTTCAGTTCTAGTTCAGTTCTAGTTCAGTTCTAGTTCAGTTCTAGTTCAGTTCTAGTTCAGTTCTAGTTCAGTTCTAGTTCAGTTCTAGTTCAGTTCTAGTTCAGTTCTAGTTCATTCTAGTTCAGTTCTAGTTCAGTTCTAGTTCAGTTCTAGTTCAGTTCTAGTTCAGTTCTAGTTCAGTTCTAGTTCAGTTCTAGTTCAGTTCTAGTTCAGTTCTAGTTCAGTTCTAGTTCAGTTCTAGTTCAGTTCTAGTTCATTCTAGTTCAGTTCTAGTTCAGTTCTAGTTCAGTTCTAGTTCAGTTCTAGTTCAGTTCTAGTTCAGTTCTAGTTCAGTTCTAGTTCAGTTCTAGTTCAGTTCTAGTTCAGTTCTAGTTCAGTTCTAGTTCAGTTCTAGTTCAGTTCTAGTTCAGTTCTAGTTCAGTTCTAGTTCAGTTCTAGTTCAGTTCTAGTTCAGTTCTAGTTCAGTTCTAGTTCAGTTCTAGTTCAGTTCTAGTTCAGTTCTAGTTCAGTTCTAGTTCAGTTCTAGTTCAGTTCTAGTTCAGTTCTAGTTCAGTTCTAGTTCAGTTCTAGTTCAGTTCTAGTTCATTCTAGTTCAGTTCTAGTTCAGTTCTAGTTCAGTTCTAGTTCAGTTCTAGTTCTAGTTCAGTTCTAGTTCTAGTTCAGTTCTAGTTCTAGTTCAGTTCTAGTTCAGTTCTAGTTCAGTTCTAGTTCAGTTCTAGTTCAGTTCTAGTTCAGTTCTAGTTCAGTTCTAGTTCAGTTCTAGTTCAGTTCTAGTTCAGTTCTAGTTCAGTTCTAGTTCAGTTCTAGTTCAGTTCTACTTCAGTTCTAGTTCAGTTCTAGTTTAGTTCTAGTTTAGTTCTAGTTCAGTTCTAGTTCAGTTTTCTAGTTCAGTTCTAGTTCAGTTCTAGTTCAGTTCTAGTTCAGTTCTAGTTCAGTTCTAGTTCAGTTCTAGTTCAGTTCTAGTTCAGTTCTAGTTCAGTTCTAGTTCAGTTCTAGTTCAGTTCTAGTTCAGTTCTAGTTCAGTTCTAGTTCAGTTCTAGTTCAGTTCTAGTTCAGTTCTAGCTCAGTTCTAGCTCAGTTCTAGTTCAGTTCTAGTTCAGTTCTAGTTCAGTTCTAGTTCAGTTCTAGTTCAGTTCTGTTCAGTTTCTAGTTCTAGTTCATTTCTAGTTCAGTTCTAGTTCAGTTCTAGTTCAGTTCTAGTTCAGTTCTAGTTCAGTTCTAGTTCAGTTCTA